ACACTGAAAAACACCGAAGGGACTTAAAAAGCCTCAAAAGCTAAATCACAATATAGAAAAAACGAAAGAAAGAGGGAGGGAAGGGGAGAAAAAAAAAGAAGAAAAAAAGAAAGAAAGAAAGAAAGAAAGAAAGAAAGAAAGAAAGGAAGACAGAAGAAGAAGAAGGAAGAGGGAGAAGAAAAGAAAGAAAGAAAGAAAGAAAGAAGAAAAGAAAAGAAAGAAAGAAAGAAGAAAAGAAGAGGAGGGGAAAGAAGGAAGGAAGAAGGAAGCAAAAGAAGAAAGGAAGGAAAGAGGTAGAGAGGAAGAAAGGAGAGAAAGAGGGAGGGAAAGAAAAAGGGGGAAGGAAGGAAAGTTAGAGAAGGAAGGAAGGAGAGAAGGAAAGAAAAAAGGGAAAGAAGGAAGGAAAGAGGGAGCGAAGGAAGGGGGGATGTAGAGAAAGAGGGAGGGAAGGAAGAGAAGAAAAGAGAGAGAAGAGAAAGAAAAGGGAAGGAGGAAGAGAAAGGAGAAAGAGAAGGAAAGAAGGAAGGAAGGAAGAAGGAAGGAAGGAAGGAAGGAAGGAAGGAAGGAAAGAGGGAAGGAAAAGGAAGGAAGGAAAGGAGAGAAAGAGGGAAAGAAAAAGGGGGAAGGAAGAAAGGTTCAGAGAAGGAGGAGAAGAAAGAAGGAAAGAAAAAAGGAAAGAAGGAAGGAAAGAGGGAGCGAAGGAAGGGGGAAAGATGTAGAGAAAGAGGGAGGGAAGGAAAGAAGGAAAGAGAGAAGGAAGAAAAGAGAGACAGCAGAAGAGAAAGAAAAAGGGGAAAGGAAGGAAAGAGATAGAGAAGGAAGGAAGAAGAGAAGGAAAGATGAGAAAGAAGGAAGGAAAGAGGGAGCAAAGGAAGGGGAGAAGATTTAGAGGAAGATGGAGGGGAGGAAAGAAGGAAAGAGAAGGAAGAAAAGAGAGACAGAAGAGAAAGAAAAAGGGGGGAGGAAGGAAAGTTAGAGTAGGAAGGAAGAAGGAAAGGAAAGAGGGAGCGAAGGAAGGGGGAAAGATGTAGAGAAAGAGGGAGGGAAGGAAAGAAGGAAAGCGAGAAGGAAGAAAAGAGAGACAGCAGAAGAGAAAGAAAAAGGGGGAAGGAAGGAAAGAGATAGAGAAGGAAGGAAGAAGAGAAGGAAAGATGAGAAAGAAGGAAGGAAAGAGGGAGCAAAGGAAGGGGAGAAGATTTAGAGGAAGATGGAGGGGAGGAAAGAAGGAAAGAGAGAAGGAAGAAAAGAGAGACAGAAGAGAAAGAAAAAGGGGGAAGGAAGGAAAGTTAGAGTAGGAAGGAAGAAGGAAAGGAAAGAGGGAGTGAAGGAAGGGGGAAGATGTAGAGAATGAGGGAAGAAGGAAAGAGAGAAGGAAGAAAAGAGAGACAGCAGAAGAGAAAGAAAAGGGGGGAAGGAAAGAGATAGAGAAGGAAGAAGAGAAGGAAAGAGGGAGTGAAGGAAGGAGAGAAAGAGGGAAGGTTGGTCACAGCAAAGTGTGGCAGGTACAGCTAGTAATAAATAAAATTGGGAGAGGAACCGAACGGGAAATAACTGGGTGTCCGTTTCCAGGTCTGATAGTTGAGTGAAGAAACTATCCAGCAAAAGCCCCCCTTATCAGCAAAAATGATTGGTCACAGTGGCCTCTCATAGTGGAGAAATGCCTTTTGCTTGTCAATTCTTTCTTGCAGTGAAGAGGGAACTTAGGGGTCCTGTAAAAATACCCTGGGGAGTTATAGTTTGCTCATCGTAAGCGTTTCAGCCATGAAGCTAGCACAGGCCAGTCACACGTGCGTTCCTGTCTGTTTCTATCCCCAGGTGCGCATTGAGGACGACATTGCCGTGACTGCCAACGGGATGGAGCTGCTGACCTGCGTCCCGCGCACCGTGGAGGAAGTTGAAGCCTTCATGGCTGAAGCTCGGGGCAACCCCAAGACCTTTGCTTCTGTCTCCAGCCAAAGCGGCGGCCCCTAAAGTGGTGGACCCATCTCCTGAAAGCATGGCTCCACGAGGGGTCCGGTAAAGCAGAGAAGCTGCTTCTCTAAAACAAAGGAAAATGAATGCCTTGTGATTTTTACTGAATTGATACTGCAAAGGCTTATACAGAAATGATCGATACAGATGATTGAAATGGATCTTGGCTCATCTAACTCTGATCATGCTTCTTTGCAAGGAGTGTGAACCCTGTATGAGGAATGGATGCAGCCACTCTCTGGGAAGTACTAATTTTTGCAAATACAAAAATCAACAGATTTTATGATTGTATATCTTTTTCACTAACACATGCTGATGAACGCCAACTTTCAATTAACCTTAATGGAGGAGCCTGTTGGGCTGGACAATCAATCAAATAAAAAGCTTTGCCTCCAAGAGCCATCGTCTGGCTTCCATTTCTTTCTCTGAGTCTTTTCAAGCATCAGGTGCAATCCAGAGACCCATCTATTTTGCCCCTGGAATCATTAAGGTAGGTTCAAGAATCCAGAACTGGTCCTTCCACAGGGAAGGCCTCCGGACTAATAGGGTTGTGCTGTGTCGGGTCACAATAGGATATGGTGAAGTGTGTGCCCAACTCTAATGAGCTGACAAGAAAAGGTAGACTAGCGTCCTATCCCGGCACCAAAAAATCCACACTTCCCTTCTGTAAGTGTGATGGGGCATAATATGCCCATTTTGGGATCAAACACCCACATCAAGGCTAGTATTGCAGTGTTTTCTGGCCACAAAAAGGGGAGGGATATTGGCCTGGGCCTATTTGTCCCTCTAACTCAATGGTTCTCAACCACTGCCCTAGAGCTTTGGAGAGCTTCTGTTCAACTATTTCAAAGCTCCCTGCTTAAGTGATGATGGCACGATCGTCAGCATAGATCAGGGGTTCTCAACCTGTGGCTCCCCAGATGTTTTGGCCTACAACTCCCAGACATCCCAGCCAGTTTACTAGCTGTTAAGATTTCAAGGAGTTGAAAGCCAAAATATCTGGGGACCCAGAGGCTCTCCAAAGCTGCAGTCGAGCTTTGGAGAGCCTCTGTTCAACTATTTCAAAGCTCCCTGCTTAAGTGGTGATGGCACGATCGTCAGCATACATCAGGGGTTTTCAGCCTGTGGGTTCTCAGGTGCTTTGACCTGACAATTCCCAGAAATCCCAGCCAGTTTACCAGCTGTTATGAAAGCCAAAATATCTGGGGACCCACAGGTTGAGAAACACTGCCGTAGAGCTTTGGAGAGTTTCTGTTCAACTATTTCAAAGCTCCCTGCTTAAGTGGTGGTGGCATGATCCTCAGCATAGATCAGGGGTTCTTAGCCTGTGGGTTCTCAGGTGCTTTGACCTACAATTCCCAGAAATCTCAGCCAGTTTACCAGCTGTTAGGATTTCTGGGTGTTGAAGGCCAAAACATCTGGGGACCTACAGGTTAAGAAACACTGCCATAGCTCTTTGGGAAGCTTCTGTTCAACTATTTCAAAGATTGGTGCCGAAATGGTGATGGCACAATCGTCAGCATAGATCAAGGGGTTCTCAACCTGTGGGTTCTCAGGTGCTTTGACCTACAATTCCCAGATATTCCAGCCAGTTTACCAGCTGTTGGGAGATGAAGGCCAAAACATCTGGGGACCCAGATATTAAGAACCACTGCAAACTGGAATTGAACCATTTGTTCCTTTGTGAGGCAACACAGAGGTCATTCACACAATGGAGACGGGGCCCTGAGTGCAAACCAGCAAACTTTCCCTAGATGCTGCTTAGTAACTTCCCTAGAAACCTGCTTTCAGTAGGCGATGGAAGTCTTGGGTGCCACTGTGAAAACGGAAGCAACAGAATATATATGTAAAAAAAAGAACAGCCATGCTGGATAATATTGAAGGCCTCCCTGACCTCTTTGTACTCTCTCTTTGCAAGATGACTCAATTCACCACACTAGTCACTGAAACACAAGGAAAAAAACCACTCTAGTCACAAGTAAAGTGAAGATAGAAAAGGAGGAAGAGAGAGGGGACAACAGCTCAATATCCCATTTTCATGGCAAAAATTGGAGTTGCAACCATATTAATATAGAAATGGACAGCGAAGCCCACTCAGCTCACAATTCTTTGAGTATCTCTTATCCAGAAATCCAAAATACTCCAAAACCCAATATTGCTCACATGGCTGAGACAGTGACACCTTTGATTTCAGATGGGCCAATACACGCAAACACTATTTCATGTACAAAACTTTAACATATGGTAGAAAATTACCTTCAGGTATGAGAATATGGTTTATAAAACATAAATGAATGTTGTGCTGAGACTTTGCCTACACATCCAAAATATTTTGACATATATGCAAACATTCCAAACTCCCAAATACTTCATATCGCAAACATTTTGGGAAAGCGATGTAAATTTACTTACGGATCAAACTACTGAAGGATTAGTACCTTAGATTAAAACTTGCACTTGCTTATCTACTCTCCTGATGGCCAAACAATTGGCAAAAGTGGGGGGGTGTAACCAGAAACTAGCTAATGAAAAAGATCTAGCAGCAAGTAGAAATGATTGACAGCATTTCAGAGAAAAACACAAAAAAATATATAACTTGGAATTAAGTCACTGACAAGCTAGAAATGGAAAAAATGTCATTTGTGCACCGTAAGACATAGAACAATTCATTCCCAATGACAGATTAAGATTAAAACAAAGCAGAGAAAATCCCCTAACTTCCCAAAAGTCCCAGCCCGTACAGCCAATTGTTTAACCCGGAATGGGTTGTTTTATGTCGGAGCATCCTTTCTCAGACACGGTGATTCTAACATAATGCAGAGAATTGCTTATATACTCAGGACAGCGATATAATAACAATCTTGCCTGATCTTGTTCTCCATTAAACTGCATATTCACTTACACTGGATCGTGTTGTCAACAGTTTTAATCACTGGAAAAGCTCCGTCTTCTGATGTTTTGATTCCTCAACAAAGCCACTTGAAACTAGATCCTTCTGCACAATTTCACAGAAGTAAAAACAAGCACAATTTTGTAAGGTATTTTTAATTATTTTCTATCACTGTTGCCAAGTTCTTGACCCAATCTTTCTAAATACATATACAAACACAATGACTGCAAGGAGGTATAAAAGTCATTTTCACTAATCCAGTCAGTCATATGCAAACATACTATTATGAAAAATATTCTGAAAGAAAATAAATTAAAGTGAGTATGACTTCCCTGTTGGTTCAGTTCCCTATACCACCCCACCAAGTACGTATAAAGGGGCTTGTCACCAGCATTTGAAAAATATCGCAGAGCTACCTTGTTTCTCCAGAGGAATGTCAAAAGAGGCAAGAACTGGTTTTGTTTATTCAAATCTGGAGGATTGCTTTTTGAAAAGAACACACCAACTTACTTTGGATTTTTGTAAACTGCAAGATAAAGCAACACAGGGTTGTTGTAGGTTTTTTGGGCTATAATAATAATAATAATAATAATAATAATAATAATAATAATAATAATAATAATCCTTTATTTATACCCCGCTAACATCTCCCGAAGGACTCGGTGCGGCTTACAAGAGGCCAAGGCCATGTTCTAGAGCAGGGGTCCTCAAACTAAGGCCCGGGGGCCAGATGCGGCCCTCCAAGGTCATTTACCCGGCTCTCGTTCAGGGTCAACCTAAGTCTGAAACGACTTGAAAGCACACAACAACAACAACAACAACAATCCTATCTTATCAGCCAAAAGCCGGATCACACTTCCCATTAAAATACTAATAAGTTTATATTTGTTAAAATTGTTCTTCATTTTAATTATTGTATTGTTTTAGGTGTTTTTAGGAGCCCCCAGTGGCGCAGTGGGTTAAACCCCTGTTCCGGCAGGACTGAAGACTGACAGGTCGCAGGTTCAAATCCGTGGAGAGGCGGATGAGCCCCCTCTATCAGCTCCAGCTCCTCACGCGGGGATATGATAGAAGCTTCCCACAAGGATGATAAAAACATCAAATCATTTGGGCGTCCCCTGGGCAACGTCCTTGCAGGCGGCCAATTCTCACACCAGAAGCGACTTGCAGTTTCTCAAGTCACTCCTGACACGACCAAAAAAAAAGTGTTTTTTGCACTACAAATAAGATATGTGCAGTGCGTATAGGAATTCATTCATGTTTTTTTTTCAAATTATAATCCGGCTCTCCAACAGTTTACGGGACTGTGACCTGGCCCTCTGTATAAACAGTTTGAGGACCCCTGTTCTAGAGGCATTCTCTCCTGACGTTTCGCCTGCATCTATGGCAAGCGTCCTCAGAGGTAGTGAGGATGCTTGCAATAGATGCAGGCAAAACGTAAGGAGAGAATGCCTCTAGAACTGTGATGGTGAACCTATGACACACGTGTCAGCACTGACACACATGGCTATTTTTGATGACACGCGGCCACATGTGGCCGCATACAGAGAAGTACACCTTATAAGAGCCAATCTAATTCCATCCTTAAATTTGTAAAAGGCTCTACAAATTTAACATCTGCATGTTTGAGCATTGTTCACTCCATAACTCAGCATGGAATATACATTTTTCTTATTTAAACTATAAATATTGCAAATTTACATTTATTTTTTTCTCGAAGTTGACACCCCACCCAAGTTATGGTCAAGTTTTTGGCAAATTTTGACACACCAAGCTCAAAAGGTTGCCCATCACTGCTCTAGAAAATGGCCCTATATCCCGAAAAAACCTACAACAACCTAGTGATTCCAGCCATGAAAGCCTTCGACAATACATAAAACAACACAGCTCGTTTGGATGGCTGGAGGGGGCATGCAGTAAACACCCAGACATGCCTTTTACTGTCATCTTGACAACAATGTGGCTCCAACACATAATTACAGCATTAAGGGTGTAAAAGTCATTGCAGGGAGGCCTACCTGTGTTTATAGCAGCCTCTCTTTATAGAAGTTGTTCTCGACATGTGGGTCCCCAGATGTTTTGGCCTACAACTCCCAGAAACCGCAGCCAATTTATCAGCTATTGGGATTTCTGGGAGTTGAAGGCCAAAACATCTGGGAATCCACAGGTCGAGAACCACTGCTTTATAGCCCTTTGTCGTGAAGCTGCCCTTCTGTTCCATCTCTCCATCAGCTGTGAAAATACTTTTCACCCATGCATGCCATCAGGCATTGGCCTCAAGTAAAGCAATGCACACAAAGTCTCCCAATAAATTTATGGATGGAGGCACTTTAAACCCATTTCCAGAGCTGACAACATCACCACCAAATATCCCAGCAGGATCCACTTAAAGTAGTAGTACTCAACTGGTGGGTCCCCAGTTGTTTTGGCCTACAACTCCCAGAAATCCCAGCCAGTTTACCAGCTTTTTAGGTTTTTAAATGCTTGTGTGTTATTGTTATTGTTTATTTTTTGTTTATGAGATTTATTTTACTGTTTTGTATTGATTATTTTGTTATTGCCTTTGGTTTACTGATGTACCGCAGGCTTGGCCTCATGTAAGCTGCACCGAGTCCCTTGGGGAGATGGTAGCGGGGTACAAATAAAGTATTATTATTATTATTATTATTATTATTATTATTGAGGGACAAAACATCTGGGGACCCACAGATTGAGAACCACTGACTTAAAAGAGTGGCAGCCTCACGAGCAACTGTTTGGGACATCTCAGCTGCATTTATTTGGCAGTAGCAGCTGAAGAAGTCAAGAACATTTCCCACAATAAAGCCTATGTCCAGACTTCAGTGGTCATTTAAATGGTACATAGGGTGCAGCCAGGTGAGACCACTGCTGGGAACTCAGGCAACTTCCATGTTTGGGGGAATTTATGGATGCATTTTCCTCAGGCCCTGGGCCACACTAACTTCTGAGCAGACCTAGACAATGCAGCAACCCAAACCATGTCAAATCCTCACTATCTCTCAGGCACTGTTACTGAGCATAATGCTCCTCTATGCATTGCTAAAAACTGTGTTTTGAGTCTTAAAAGATTCCTTCCTAAATTTCAAAGTGAGTTATCGCAACAGATCTCGCAACAACAAAACAGGTGAGGAAATAAAAATATAAAAATAATAGTTTTTTAAAACCAACTACCACTACATTGCTGTTTGCTAACTGCTGAAGAATCCTGTGACAATTTAATTGTTAACTTAAGGCTATTACCCGCTCAACCCTTTATGTTAATCAGCTTGAAAACTTATCATAATTTTTATGCTACTTTCATACCAGCAACTCTCTTTATTACGGCACCTTTGGCTATCGTGCACCTCTCAGTATCCATAGCTTGAAAATATGTCCAAAAACAAATTTGCAAGGGTAAACCTTGATTTTTTACCTTTTTATATAAGGGACACCATTTTACTACACCATTTGATATTGTGGAACTTGAGCATCCCCAGATTTGGGGTTCCCCTGGAGGTCCCAGAACCAAATCCCAGCAGATACCAAGGGCCCACTGTATTTTAAAGTGTTTATCCTGAAAGCAATGTTATCGCTGCCTTATTTCCACATCTTATCAAATCAGGAAGACATTTAAGTACAATGGTGCATCCCTTGCTTTATTGACAAAAAAAAAAGTGATGGGGATGCTTGTCCAAACATCTGTCTTAAGTCAAAAATGCCAGACTAGAAAATGCATTAACACACAGTTCAAAACAAATCCTTGGAAAGAAAAAGCCTGCCGTGCAGTTTACCTGCATCATCAACCCTTCAGTGTTAAGCCTACAATTTTTAAAAACCCACGCACGCACACCAAATGACCATTGTTACAAAGTTGGGAAGTGATCTTCTCTCCGGCTGCGTTTGACTTGCATATAGGACGCCGTTTCCATACCATTCTGTCCATGAGGTGGAAGGAGTGTATCTACTGCCCAGAGCCATCTGAGTTTGTGACGGGGCTTTCCGTGCCAAGAGGCGGCACACTGTCTGTGAAGTTGTGAGCGTGTTCAAGAAACAAGTCTTTGAGGACGCTCAACTCCTTCGTCAGGAGCTTGATTTTGGCCTCCAAGCGTTCATTTTCTTCTTTGAGCTGGTTGACCCTCTGCAGGGTGTCTTGGGCCTTCTGCTTGCTCTTCAGGCGGCTCTTCTTCACCGCTATGTTGTTGCGCTCCCTGCGCTGGCGGTACTCATCGCTGCCCCGATCAATGGCGGAACCCTTCTTGCCCTGCTTGCTGGGAGGTGAAGCCTTGCCTCCACCTCCGGGACTGACGGGCACCAGCTGAGGGACCTGCTGCAACCCACTGGTGTGCGCCTGGGTGAAGATGACACTCACGCCGTTGGTCTCTGCAGTCGTGTTCTCCTGTGATGTCTTGCTCATTTGGACAGGCTCTTCTTTAAACCAACAGTAGGATTTCTAAGAGAAACTGAGGTGCTCTGGATTTCCAGGATGCTTCCGGAATTCACGGGGATTAATAGTAAGTGAACCTAGAAATAAAAACACATTTGCTTGTTTAACATGTACAATGCCACATCTATCCATTCTTGTTTCACTCCAATATCTGCACAGGCAATAACAGAATAGGGTTTATTTCTGAGCAGGCATGGACAGGACTGAGTTGGAGAACAATATACTATATATACTATAGTATACTATAGTATACTATACTATACATATATACATACATACATACATACATAGAGTGTGTGTGTGTGTGTGTGTCCTCCTTTTAGCCCCACACCTTCCCACCAGGACCCCTCACCTGGGTCGCTGAGCCAAGAGAAGAGGAAAGGCTGCACACCTTCCTGTCCTCTCTCACGTGCCCTCTCGCTGGGTCTTTCCCACTTTTCCAGTCCCCCCTTCTCATCCCAACCTTTTCCCGTCTCCACCTCCCCCCCACCCTCTTTCACACCTAAATCATTCCCCACCTGCCCCCTGCCCATCCCATTCTGTCCTACTTTTCCAGCTACCCCTTTCCACTTTATTTTCCTACTTTTTCAACCACATCTTCTCATTCCAACCTTTTCATATTTCCAGTCCTTTTTGCCCACCCCCTTCCCAAGCCAGTCTTTCCCACTATTCCTTATTCATATACACACAGCATTTCCCTAAGATGCATAGTTAAAATAAATTATGGGAATTATTGGAAGGATACGTAAGCACATTGATAGTGAAGAAGGTTAGAAAAATGGTTTAATCAAGAGTTGGACAGTCTTATCTTAAATTAGGTTTATTTATTTTATTCGTGTCAGCAGCAACTTGAGAAACTGAATGTTGCTTCTGATGGGAGAGAATTGGCTGTCTGCAAGGATGTTGCCCAGGGGACACCTGGATGTTTTTGATGCTTTACCATCCTTGTGGGAGGTTTTTCTCATGTCCCTGCATGAGGAGCTGGAGCTGATAGAGGGAGCTCATCCGTGCTCTCCCCAGATTCGAACCTGCAACTTGTCAGTCTTCAGTCCTGCCGGCACAGGGGGCTCTGAATTAGGTTTATGTAAATATTTTAAAACATTTAACCTACTGATGCTTCAATTAATGTAATTTTATTCGTAGGTAAAGTCCCGTCCCCCCCACACGAAGGTTGGCTCAATTTCCTATATCTCTATGAGTTCGCCCTTACAATTAGTTCTCTCCCCTTATCTCACCTGGAGTTTTAAATCATTTTATGTACATGCGGCCTACCCTTTGTTTGTTTGCCATTATGCTTAGTTCTTATGTTTTGTGTATATTGTTTTATATGCTTTGATGTTTTATATTTTACTGTTATGTTGTTTATTTGATTGCAATTTGTACTGTTATATTGTAATTTTTGTTCAGGCTTGGCCCCATGTAAGCCGCTTCGAGTCCCCTTTGGGGAGATGGTGGCAGGGTACAAATAAAGATGATGATGATGATGATGATTATTATTATTATAGGTTTTTCCCTGACATTAAGTCCAGTCATGTCTGACTCTGCTGCTCATCTCCATTTCTAAGCCAAAGAGTCGGCGCTCTCCGTAGACACCTCTAAGGTCATGTGGCTAGCATGACTGCATGGACTGCCGTTACCTTTGTTTTTAATTGTATTCTGCCTTGGGCTTGGGCCCCATGTGAGGCGGCCTGAGTCCCTTCGGGGAGATGGAGGCGGGGTAGAAAAATAAAGAACAACTTCAACTCCAACTTCCTCCTCCTCCTCCTTCTTCCTGGAGCAGTACCTATTGATCTAGTCACATTTGCATGTTTTCGAACTACTAGCTTGGCAGAAGCTGGGGCTCACAGCGGGAGCTCACCCCACTCACCGGATTGGTACCTGCGACCTTTCGATCAGCAAGTTCAGCAGCTCAGCGGTTTAACCCGCTGCACCACCAGGGGCTCCTATTTTTTTTGGTTTTTGTTTTTATTTTGAAATTGACCAGAAGCTGCTAAATTTCCCACCCAACTTGAGTCAATACATTTTCCCAGTGTTTTGTGGTAAAATTAGGTGCCTTAGCATATATTCAGATTGGCTTATACTCGAGTATATATGGGCACTCGGATCTGCAAATCTCAGTAAAATTTCAGGTCCAAAATTAACTGGATTGGGTTGTTGTAGGTTTTTTTGGGCTATATGGTCATGTCCTAGAGGCATTTTTTCCTGACGTTTCGCCTGCATCTATGGCAAGCATCCTCAGAGGTAGTGAGGTGATTGTTGTATTAGCTGGATTGTTGTATTAGCTGCATTGTTGTACTATTTTCGCAGCACAGTTTGACTAGCATGTATTTGTGCACACAGAATTGTACTAAAGAATGAGTTTAGAATCTAATAGCCTCCTTCCCATGAAAAAGTTTTGTTGCTAGCTTATCTGTGATTAATTCAATTTATTTCTAAGCCACTGCCAAGCCATCTTTATAGCCATTTGCTTCCTCTTGTCACCTCATCCTTAGGCAACCTCTCTGCCACATGCCTGGCTATATTCAGCTATCACAAAGGCATCCCAAGTGAATGGCTGTCTAGCCATGTCTGAAATGCTTCCAATTTCACAACTTCGTCTAACTTTTGTCTAACTTTTGCTCTCTTAAGCTTTCCAACTAGAATTTAGCACAAGAGCTTCATGAACATAACTATTTACTCTGCAAAGTGTGAAAAGGGAGATCTTCATGTTCCAAGTTCTGAGACTGACACGTACCTAAAATAGCTACAACACCTCATCACCAACAACCAAGAGATACGAATACAACTACTCAGTGCCTGATGCGTAACATGAAAAATATCAGGCACCTCAAAGATTAGAAAGAAAAGTTATGCTCAGAGGCAATAGCACAGAATCATTAACATACTATGTTCTAGTTAGCACAGAATCATTTACATACTATGTGTTAATGCAATTAGTCCTTGGCTTACATACGCTAGCTCAGGCATGGGCAAACTTTGGCCCTCCAGGTGTTTTGGACTTCAACTCCCACAATTCCTAACAGCCGGTAGGCTGTTAGGAATTGTGGGAGTTGAAGTCCAAAACACCTGGAGGGCCAAAGTTTGCCCATGCTTCTTCTAGCTCGTGAAAGGCATCATATACCAAACATTTCCAGTTTCTTCCACTGTTTGTGCTAACACAGGAAGCAAAACGGACGCAAACAGGCTACACATATAAGGGCAGTGGACGCTTTTCTTGCACCTCCTACTGGACCCATCACCAGCTTCTAAAAACAAGATATGCCTCAGCTTGCAAATCCAGGATTTATTCAAAAGAGGTTTGCCTTTGCCGTCCTCTGAAGCTGAGAGTGTGTGACTTGCCCAAGTTCACCCAGCGGGTTTCCAATGCTGAGTGGAGATGTAAACAAAAAAACAGTCCAATGCGTAAGCCATCACGTCATACTGGTTCCCAACGTCATAAATCAGCACAGAAGAGGTCAAGAGATAGCCAGAAGGACAGGGAGAGATTATGTGCCAGCATCCTCCAGAGAAATATAGTGATTATCTGAAAAATTGCTGTTGAGAGGTCAAGATCAAACATCTTGACCAGTAGGAGCCCCTGGTGGCGCAATGGGTTAAACCAGGGGACCTCAAACTAGGCCCGGGGGCCGGATACGGCCCTCCAAGGTCATTTGCCCGGCCCTCACTCAGGGTCAACCTAAGTCTGAAACGAAAGCACACAACAACAACAACAACAACAACAACATTCCTATCTCATCAGCAAAAAGCGGAGCCCCCGGTGGCGCAGTGGGTCAAACCCATGTGCCGGAAGGACTATTTATTTGTCGTGTCAGAACAACCAGTCTAACAGAACAAAGCAAACAAACAGAAAAATACACAACTTGTGAGTTTGGTAGCTGGTTAAATGTCCTTTGACCAGTATCTGGCCACTTGGAGTGCTTCCGGTGTTGCTGCAAGAAGGTCCTCCATTGTGCATGTGGCAGGGCTCAGGTTGCATTGCAGCAGGTGGTCAGTGGTTTGTTCTTCTCCACACTCGCATGTCGAGGATTCCACTTTGTAGCCCCATTTCTCAAGGTTGGCTCTGCATCTCGTGGTGCCAGAGCGCAGTCTGTTCAGTGCCTTCCAAGTGGCCCAGTCTTCTGTGTGCCCAGGAGGGAGTCTCTCATTTGGTATCAGCCATTGGTTGGGGTGCTGGGTTTGAGCCTGCCACTTTTGGACTCTCGCTTGCTGAGGTGTTCCAGCGAGTGTCTCTGTAGATCTTAGAAAACTATGTCTAGATTTAAGTCGTTGGCGTGCTGGCTGATACCCAAACAGGGGATGAGCTGGAGATGTCTCTGCCTTGGTCCTTTCACTATTGGCTGCCGGAAGGACTGAAGACCCACAGTTCGCAGGTTCGAATCTGGGGAGAGGAGGATGAGCTCCCTCTATCAGTTCCACCTCCTCATGCAGGGACATGAGAGAAGCCTCCCACAAGGATGATAAAAACATCAAATCATCTGGGCGTCCCCTGGGCAACGTCCTTGCAGACGGCCAATTCTCTCACACCAGAAGCAACTTGCAGTTTCTCAAATCAGCCAAAAGCAGGCTCACACTTCCCATTGAAATACTATTAAGTTTATTTTTGTTAAAATTGTTCTTCATTTTAATTATTGTATTGTTTTAAAGTGTTTTTTGCACTACAAATAAGATATGTGCATAGGAATTCATTCATGGGTTCTTTCAAATTGTGATCCAGCCCTCCAACAGGCACTGTGACCTGGCCCTCTGTTTAAAAGTTTGAGGACCCCTGGGTTAAACCATTGTGCCGGCAGGACTGCTGACCGAAAGGTTGGTGGTTCGAATCCGGGGAGCAGGGTGAGCTCCCATCCATTAACTCCAGCTTCCCATGTGGGCACATGAGAGAAGCCACCCACAGGATGGTAACACATCCGGGCATCCCCTGGGCAATGTCCTTGCAGACTGTCAATTCTCTCATACCAGACGCGACTTGCAATTTCTCAAGTCGCTCCTGACACGGGGAAAAAATATTGACCAGCAGACCAGTGTTTCCAAATACCTGATGGGCTTCTGTTTAGCCCTGGAGTTAGGCTTGGAAACA